TAGTAGTAGTAGCAGTGGTGGTGGTCATAGACACCAGGCTCTACTTATTGCTTCTAGGCCGATTACGGGATATGTCTCTAATCAATGCAATGCAAAGCAATGGGCCCAGTACTAGTTGCGAACTTCGAAGTGCTCTAAAATCAACACCTTAAACCCTAAACCCTCTGTTCACTTCGCTTCTTTGCCTCCCCCGAAGGTGCGAGGATTCGCACAGGCACGGGCGGCTCGGCTGCTGCCGCTTCGCCGAGAGATTCCGCCATGAGCCGCTCAGGGTGCTGGGGGCTTCGGATTCAGAGTTCTGTACAGGATTTGGGTTTAGGGTTTAGGGTTTAGGGTTCTGTAGGGTTTGGGGGGTGTGGGATGTAAGGGATTGGGATCTCGGATTTGGGGTTTGAGGCTTGGGCCTTAGCGCTGCTTCTAAGGTGAGGCCGGTCCTTAAGGTCGGTACCTTCCGCAAGGAACCCCTAGTTTGGAAACAAGTACCAAGGGCTCTTAAGGGGAACCGGGCTCCCGGGAGTGGGCGTCGAGAAGGACGATAGCCTTTCGGTGTAGCACCTTAGTACCTTTTTTTAGGCTTTGGGCCTTCAGGAGGGTCGGATTCAACAGGAGGGGCGCGGAGGACGGATCTGGAAACGGCTTCCGGAAGCTTCACGTCTTAAGGCCTCGGGCAACACTGAGCCTCACCCCAGACCCCGGCCGCACGGCACCTTTTCTGCGCAACTAAAAAGAAAAGCACCTGGTCTCCCACTGCAGCCTGGTCAGCAACTAGCCTCAGACTCTCGATGCTGCCAAACCCTGTCAATGAACATGTCCATCCATGCGAAGAAGGGCTCATGCACCTTCTCTTCGGTCTTGCAGGAAACCGCCACGTAGGGCCACTGGTTCTCGGCCGCCACCTGCAGCGCCTCCTCCTCCGTCACTTCCGGCTCTTCAACGTCTGCATGCGTGCCCGCCAGGCAGATACAGCGGCAGGACTCGGGATACTGATCTTGAGCCTCGCGGACGGTCCTGAGGGTCTCCTCAAAGGAGGCGCGGCTGGCAAGGGAGAAGATGGCAATGAGACCTTTTGCTCCTCTGTAGTATGCATTCACAATGGCTTTGTATCGATCCATGCCTGATGTGTCCCAAACCTGCAGCTTGAGAACATGCCCTTCCTCAGACTGGTACCGCAAGGCGCTGAACTCCACGCCGATTGTCGGCGTGTAAGCCTGATCGAAGTCTCCACTACATACGGCCCGCAGTAACGAGGACTTTCCTGCACGACTTCCACCTACGAGGATGCACTTCACGAGTATATCGCCGTCTTGTGTGTCTCCGGATGGTAGTGGTGTGTACGTGCCCAGGGCCTTTCTCACCAAGTACCTTGATTGTACAGCGACCATGTATTCTGCTAGTAGCTTTTGACTACGTTTTGCCATCTGGTCAAGCTTCAGAACATAAACACCCTAAGACTTCCAGCAAATAGATCCTAACCTTCATCGCGCGGAACTTTATCGAGCATGCGGTTGAAAAACTTGGGTTGGTCTTGCTATTGAGGGAAAACAGGCACAGGTCAGAGTTACTCGGCATTCGGGAAGGTAAGCAAATACGTCTACTATTTATCAGAGCTTCTTCTGTACGACATTGTCCAAGTCCTACCTAGGCTTTTGGACCTTATCGCGAAGCGTGTCACCAATGCAACCACGCTGTGACCAGCCTGCATCTGGTCTAGAAGCAGAATGCTGGAAATTGTTATCTCCGCACGGACAAATCGCAGCAACTTGTCTGCATACGCGCTACTCTGCTATTCCACAGCAACCTGATGCATAAACCCTGAAAGCGCAACCCTGAAACTAAGCCCTCAACCCCAATGCCCAACACCTAAGTCATACTGGAGCCCAAAACCTTACACGGCTTGTTCACGGCTTAGGGCTCCTCAAGGTAAGCAACGGCTCCTCTAAACTTCTAAGAAGCCCAAGTTTCAAGGACTCGTCTTCCGTGAGATCCAGCTCGCTGAGCCTGGCATATTGTGGATCTTCGGCTTCGAGGGTTTAGGGTTTAGGGCCTAGGCGTTTAAGGCCTGGGGCTTTAGGGTTTAGGGGTTTCGGGTTTTTTTCGCAATTTTGCGTCACATGCGCCGTGCAAAACCACACAGCATAGGCACGAATCGAACGACAGCATGCAGGCGAGAATCGCAACTTGCCTTTTCCAAAGCATCCTCTAAACCTCCCAACACACACACACACACAAACAAACGCATGCTCTGTGCCAATTTGGCACGTTTGTTCCGACCGTTTGGGCTCATCTTGGGATGGATGCTGCCTTTAAAGGTTATCATCCTCTGCTCAAGACATCCTCGCATGTATGACTGTAGGCAAAACCCATGCAAATCCATGCTCATGCACACTCGTGGGTGCATATAAACGGACCCCTCTCGAAACTTTTCAAAGGGCACCATAAGGTTCTAAAAGAGGGTGCCATCCCTAAACCCTAAACCCGCAAACCCCCAAAACACCCCCCCCGCCCCGTCAAATGGGTTTTCCAGCTCACATCGATCGCCTGGCATCCACCCGGACCACCTCTGTGCCGCGCAGCAGCGACAGCCGCCCGGTGATAGCCTTCAGGAGCGATCATCGACCCCAAATAGACCATGAGCTACCATACTATGAGTAGTTCTCTAAATTAGAATCCCTTTTAGGGTCCCTTTTTCCTAGGGTGCCGTACTATTTGGGGACCTGAACATTCCACATTTCACATTGTGGACTGATTTGCTCCCGCAACGACGACGACTGAGGGAGCACAGACCGGAGCAAGCCGGAAGGTCTTGGTCTTTCACAAGCCGTCGGTTCCCGATCTATGTGAGCACCGCGGGACCCAGGATTTGATTGACGAAATATATATATATATATATAGGCTTGCATTCGCTCCGCATCTTCATCAAGGCGAAACAAATACTCCAGAGGACTGCACGGTCAGACATGAACCGCCACCAGTCACCGTGCAGTGAAGCGCGGCTTCGCTTAGTACCTGGGCACTCACGGAGAGCGTGCCTGAGAGTCACCAGACAGGCCGCACACCAAGGACTGCGGCCTTTAAAGGTGGGAGCCTCTGAGAACTGGCAAACCGGACGAACAACCAGGTCCTTAGCGAGGATAG